TTTCACAGGGGGACTGGGGGCAACCCCCCCAAGGCTTTTTTTTTTACCCCCACCCAAAATCCGGGAGGAGGCATTTTTTTTTTTACAGGGCCCCCACAACCCGGGGGGGCCCCGGGGAAAAGTTTTCCCCCCGGTTTTTCCCCCCCGACCCGGACTTAAATTCCTTTGCCCACCCCCTCAAGCGGGGTGGGGGGGGCAAGTCGGAAAACCCCCGGATTAAAACACAGGGGGGGGGGGGGGCACACACACACACAGGAGGGGCCCAGGGGAAAGGGTGGGCCATCCCTTTCCCCGGAAGACAAAAGCCTCCCTAAACCCGGCCAGGGGAGCCGCGTCCAACCCAATCCACCCGGGGGGACCCCCCCCTCCGTATTCCCTTTCTTCCCCTTCCCCCCCCCCCCCCCCGCCGCCTACTTCCTCCTCCTCCTCCTCCTCCTCCTCCTCCTCCTCCTCCTCCGCCGCCGCCGCCGCCGCCGCCGCCCGGTCCCTCTTGTGCGCTAGGCCGACGATTGTCGCATCTGCTTCGCTGCTGCTGTTGGTGTCTCCTGGCTCGCCGGCCGTAGAGCCACAACACCAGAGGTTGACCGTCTGTGATGTTGACGTTGTTGCGTGGCGCGGAATTTTGGGATGAGGGATAACATGAACGGCAGTCACAGGGGGGTCGGGGACCGGGGGGGGGGCGGCGCAGGACCAATACGCGCATGAACTGTCCGCGATTGGCTCGGAAAAGAGGAGATCGAATTTGTTGCCGTCACGACAGCAAAGGTATCGACAGCAACTATTATGATAACGACGACGATGACGACCACGACGAGGACACAGCAGCCAACAATGACACAGGCAACGTCAAAAACCACAGCGTTATTAGCGTACATATATGCATACCAGCAAAAAAAAAAAAATGGTTCCATGACAAACTCACCGCCCGGACAGTATCATGCCTCCCGCCACTATCGCTCCTCCTCGCAACCCCCGCCCCTCCCACCCACGCCGGCCCGGCCCCTGGCCCCTCCTCCCCCTCGCCCGCCTGCTCCTGCACGCCGCCGCCGACGGGTCTCGAGCAAGGGACGTCGCCCGAGAAGTGTTGCGCCACGGCCGGATAAAAGCGGGACGCCCGAATACCCTCCTCTCCCTCGTCGTCCTCCTCGTCGTCGTCGTCCTCCTCCCCCACACCCGGAATGACCGGCCCGAGAGTCACCGTTGTCTCGTCGCTCATGCCGAAATCGAGTTGCTGCCGTTGTTGACGTTGGAGTTGGGGTCAGGAAGGTTTCGGCCCGTCGCGGCCCCCCCGGGGGGGGGGGCGTGGGGTTGAGAAAACACCGAGAAGGATGGGGGGGGGTGTTGGGGTGCGGGGTGTGTGTGTGTGGAAGAAGAAGGGTTGCAAGACGTGGAGGCGACAGAGGAGGGGGGGTGCGGCAGCAACTCGGCGAAGAGGAGAAAGCACAGGTGGATGACGGGGGCTTGGGGAGGGTGAACGGTTTCCGTTCAACATGTTTTCGTTTCTCCACCGGCAAACTGGGGACCTCGCTTTTGGCAAGCACCCGCCCGGGGCTAATCTGAATCCTGGTTGCACAAACGCACGCCAAAGAGCGAACCACGCAACACACACATGCATTTCAGGATGTTTTCGCGACCGTCGCTGCATTCATGTCCTTGGCTTTCATGAGCAAGCTGGGCACAAACGCACGATGGTACACGATGTGTAGTAACCCCCCCCCCCGATTGACCACGCGTCCTCGAGAGGACGGAGCATTGTTCCCCCCGGCTGCGTCGGGTTTCCCAAAGGCAAATGATCCACCGGAACGGGTAAAACAGGAAATGTTTCCCTTGCTGGTGGACCCCTCAGTTCCAACGCTGTGTAACGTTCTCGCTGATATATCGAAGGCAACGGCGTTGTGGGAGCGACTCGGCCCTGGAGGCATCATACCAAAATAGTCGACGAAGAAGCGATGGCTACTCAAAATGCTTACAGCCATATTTGCTTGGTTTGTGAAAACGGGCCTGAATGTCAAGGCAAGATCCTTTGAGAAAAAAAACGCGGTATCAACAGCAACAGCAAAAGAAGTGGCAGCCCCAGCAGTATCAGCAGCAACCGCTGCATCTTCATAATTCATCATCACCATCGTCATGAGCAGCAGCAACAGCAACAGCAGCACTACCAACAGTAACGGCGACGACAACACGGACGAGAGTAGAGAGGGTGGGCAAAGATCTCGCCACCAGGGCCCCCACCCACCGGCGGCATTCGGCCCCCCTCCGCGCGCACCGTCGACCGGCCCTTGTGGCACCACTGGAACACGAAGGGCTTCGACAGGGTGCGGTTCCCCTCGGTCCACGTGCTGGGCAGGTAGGTGAAGCACCGAGACTCGAGAGGCCCCAGCATCTCCTCCACCTCTCCCGCCGTCGGAAGATACGCTCTACCCTTCCCGTCGCCGCCGCCGTCGTTAGTCCCGGCTGCTGGACTTGACGATGATGACGGGTTTCCGGCCGCTAAGACGCCAACCCTGATCCCGCCGCCGCCGCCGCCGCCGCCGTTCTCTCGGCTTGAGCCCCGCGCGCGTAGCCCAAGAGAGAGCGCGAGGGCGAAGCCGGCGGCCCCGGCCAGGTCGGCGAATGGATGGCAGGCGGCGGCGGCGGCGAAGCCGCCGCCGTCGCCGACATCGCCGCCACTGTCGCCGCAGGAGATCTTCCTCCGGGAGGGGGGCGCTGTGTTCCCGTTTTGCCGGCGGCGGCGCAGCGGCGACTTCGTCGGGTGTGGCGTGTTCGTCGTTTTGTTCGTGGCGGCGGTGGCAGCGGCCCTGGCAGCTCCCGTGCCGCGCCTGTCGTCGCATAAAAGAGTCCAGCGTGTTTTGTTAGGGGTGCGTGAGGCGGCGTTTGGAGGGGGACATGTGCATATGGGTATTGTTTTACCTGGAAACTTGCAGCGACCGAGCTAGCTCAAATGACGAGAGAGTGTGCGTGTGTCTATATTCGGCGTCGACCGTGCGATGTATCTGACCGACGAATTGGTAAGCAGCAGTCCTTGATAGCGGGATTAAACGTGTTTCAAAAATTAACATCGACCGTGCCAACCAGATGACCAATGAAAATGCGTCAGTCTTATTGAACAACGCGAACACGTATTCTAATTAGTCAGCGGGCTCTGGCGGCGGGGTGTGTGCGCGAGCTCCCTTTGTTAGTTAGCATCGACCGCGGAAAATGGAGACGTCCGTGCTGCGAAAACTGCTACAAGCACAACATGGTATTGTAGACAGAAGGATGCAACGCAACACGCTTCTTGCAAGTGGCGGTCGAATAGCTTTTGGGAACCGTTACGACGGTTTTGGGGGGCTTAACGTGTCAAACCGCAACATACGCGCTGACCACGATCCAAAACAAAGGCAGTGGCCGCATGCAATACAAAGTTGGGCATTCAAAAGAACTGGCAGTGGCCCAATGGAGCCACAGTAGCTCCTTGTAGCCAAGCGTTCCAACGTTCAAAGTTGTGGGAGCCAGCCGCCCACGACTTGCATGCAATGGACAATGGACCACCGCTCGCTGTGATATATGGGCACGACCAGTATGCGTGTGCTAGACTAGACTACTCTGTACATGCTGTAGTCTACACGCGACAGCACCTGTACCAATGTTTTCGGTTCGATTATTGTTGGTGTGCCCTGACGGTAGTTGGAACAAGTTGCACCTGGGACGTCGATGCACATCAGCTACAGGGTGGAAGGATCGATGCAGGTCCTCTCTTGCACACATTGCTGCTGCTGTGATATGTTGTCGTCCTGTTCACGCATGGTTCATGATTCCTATTCGAGTACAACTCCACTCCAGACTCCAGACAACTAACTGTACAACCAGTACGTGATGTGTTTTTTGCTCGCTTACAGCTTATAGGCTAAAGGGTGGAGACGTCAGTGTTCCACTACATACGCCGCACGTTACAACATGGTTAGCACCTCGACATTTTCCGATGGCTGGCAAGTCTCGCTGTTGTTGTCTATACGCTTCGGAACAGCAGTGCCCGTTGGTGGTTGTACAACGGTGCACCAACTCTTGAAGTCAGTACAGCAGCCGCAGTGTCCAGTAGTGTCCAGTGTTGTTAACAATCCGCTGCAAGCGTGTGCATCTCTCTCACCATTGCTGCCGCTGCTCCTGTCGCTTTCGCCGTGTCTGTATGGTGCACGACGTCTATCGGAGTAGAAAGAGCACTGCAAACAAACAACGCGTTTACCGAGAGATGGACAGAGAGAGAGAGAGAGAGAGACGACAGGGCGAGAGGGACCAGAGGAGATGGCGAAGCGGCAGGGAGCGGGCTGATCTCCGGAGAAGAGGGAAAAAAAAAGCGATAAAAAAAAAAACACGAGACTGTTGAGGACAGCGGAACTGAGAGAACGTGCGGTGTGGCTAAGTTGGCGCAAAATTAGAGCCTAGAGCACAGGACCTCTAGCAACAGCAGCGCACCAAACTGGAGAGGCAGTCTTAAGAAGATCCCCGTGTGGTCACAAGATGTCCGGGTTCCAGGAAGCTAGCGAGAAGATGCAAGAGGCGTCTCCTGCTGCGGTGAGTTCATGACTGCATTGCACTCCCCCTAGCGCCTGTGAGCCATGAGGTGCTACATACCATGGTATACGCGATAGAGGAAGCCACCTTTAGCCGTCTTCCATTGCCCCCCATGTTCGTTCACGGTGTGTGAACTTGTACGACATTTGCATTATCCGTGCAAAAGCGTGTGAGCGTGAGCGCTATGACTATACGAGGTCGTTGGTGTGTTGCAGTGCTCAAGCACCCGAGAGGAGTGAGGTAGGCCCCGTCGTAGGTCGCAAGAAACCACCCCCCCCTTTAGCGACGTTCAAAGCTGGGTTGCTCCACTGGTTCGTGCTCTACAGCGGGTGCGACCGATGGTTCAAGACTGGTTTTTGAGAAGCTGCGGTGGATTGCTTTTCCGAAGAGGATTCTCGATTGATCTCGGCTCCCAAGCAGCTTTCGTATTGGTTCCAGGGTTGTGGGTGTCTTACAACATCAGCACAGGAAGCACCGCCGTATGCATATGTTGCAGCGGCGGAGACGCCCCACCGTTACTAATGTCTTGCCTACAGCAGTATCGAGTCAATCCACCATGATAGAGACTCCCCGCTCTTGGTGGTAAGGGTTCGCCTGTGGGCAGACTGAATTGTCCTTGTGCCACGCTGAACTCGCTCAAGCAAAAGGTGTGCTAGAACTACAGCAGTACAACGAAGAGCAGTTAGCGGTCTTTGCGGTCATTATTGGTTGTGCCGGCGGAGAGTCCCAACGCGCCTTCTGCCGTGCACCCCCGCACAAGCCCTCGGCAGCAGAGAAGAAGCTTTGCAACGGAGACAACAACTCCAAGTGGGTAGGCACACAGCAGCACTCTATGCGCAGAAGCAGACGTAGAGAGAGAGAGAGAGAGAGAGAGAGGGGACCACACCACGACTCCTTTCTGTTCGGTTTTTCCGCGCGGCAGGCGGACGCCAACGGCACCGAAACAGCAGCGGCGCCGGCACAAGCACCGGAACCGGAACCGGAACCGGCGGCGGCGGCGGCGGCTGCTGCTGCTGCAACGGGAGCAGCTACCGCCGAAGGGGGTGAGAAGAAGCTGTCCAAGGTACGCACCGTTTGCCGTAGAGTGCTAGGCCTCTCCCAGCTAACCTCTTACGCTTTATCTAGACTTGGAAGTGACTCTCGCCACCGATGCCGACCATACCCGTGTACCTGCAGGGCTCACCTAAAGCGGAAGCCCTAGCGCAACCTACACCGACTTTGGTTTGGACAATGTCCAAGGTTTGGACGATGTCCGAGGCTACAATCTGTTGTCATTTATGGTGGTAGACACGTCCATCGTGTGCAGCCGATTACCCTAATGGGAGAGAAAGACTCGGGGAGACTGGAGCAGTAGCCTTAGCGTTTTTTTTTGTTTTATGTAAGCATGTTGGATACAGTATGCAATCGGGGAAGTTGGGTTAGGGTTAGGGTTAGGGATAGAGTCTGCGTGCCCCCCTCCCTTTTCTTTTTCCTCATAGCTTACTTTCTCGCGAAGGCGGTCCGGCCGGAGCGAGCGTCGCAGGGTGTGTGGCATCAATTTGTGTGTGCCCATTCGCTGCAACTGCTGTTGTTGTTGTTCCTCGCATATATACATTCGTGCGTAAAAAACACGGCAGAGAAGCCGAACCTAGGACATTGGACGCCCTACGTTGTGTTGCGTTGGACCTGTCACATGGAGACACGGCGAATATCCCAACGAGTAACAATAAGCCTACCCGCCCCCCCCCACACACTTCCACTGGAGCAACCTGCCGTGCCCTTCTCTACATTGAAGCCACCGTGAAATTCGTTCTCGGCAAGACTTGTCCAGGACAGAATATTCCTCGGCTCTGCCAGAGACCTTCTTGCTATGTGGGGGAAGGCGTTTTTCGTAGACTTGCCGCTGACATTGCTGTGTTTTGTGGGCTGCTTCCGCAGCAGCTGAAAAACATGCTCGAACGCACACACGCTATCCTGTCGGTTCCTCGATATGCCTGGTGCATGCTCCTCCTGTGTTCCTGTTTTGTGTTTCTGGCGCACATGTTGGCTATGCAAACGCAAGCATGTCCCACTTTTGGTATACACGAAGGGAATTGTCTGTGCAGAAGGGCAAACGAAACAATTGACATACATTCAACTTTCACCGACGGTTTCCCAATCCTTGGTGCGTTTTCCGCTGTGCAATTTGCGGCGGCGGCGGCGGTGGTTTCCATTTGAGCAGAACGCCATGAAGAAGCTGGCGAAGTCAGGGGGCAAGAAGAAGGAGAAGAAGAAGTTTGCACCGCCGGCCGCTACCAGCGAGAAGAAGAAGGAAAAGAAGAAGGCCGCGGAGGTGAGACGCAAGAAGAAAATAAAAATTGTGGTATCGCCGCACACAAGAACCGAACCTGCGAGAATCTGTGGTTTTGGCGTCTCTCACTGCGGCAGTAGTAGACCGGGTCCGAGTCTCGGGGCGGGCTTAGCGCCGAAACTGTTCACTCGTTTGTGTTTGGCCCTGGGGGTGTCGGGACCCTCAAACTCACAAGCGATCGATGCAGCGTATTCCAATTGCTCCAGTGGGAACTCAACAAATCCGGCGTGCTCTGCACGTACAGTACACACCCAACGAATCCGGCTTGCCACGAAGTACATACGCGTGGCACACGGACAAGTTTCTTTTTTTTTTGTTCCGAATCTGTGTTGTGCGTGTGGCGTGTCCCGCTTTAAGGTAATCGTGACCTACGACGGGCCGCGGGACGGAACGAAGAAGGATGTCTCCGGGGACATGCCGGCGACGTACCAGCCCCTCTACGTGGAGGCGGCGTGGCAGGAGTACTGGGAGGCGGCGGGTTTCTATACGTGCGACCCGGCGAAGGCGGCGGTGAGAGGACGGGGGACGGGGGATGGGGGGGGCGGGGAAGGGTGCCGTTCGAGAAAGTACGGGAATGAGGAAGAGGCAGACGAAGAAGAGAGAGAAGAGAGAGAGGAGAGATAGAGAGAGGAGAGATAGAGACAGAGACAGAGACAGAGACAGACAGACAGACAGACAGACAGACAGATAATGGTTCCGTATCTTCAAAGTGATGCGTACGTGGTCACGGCAAACAAAGTCAGGCAAGGCAACGGATGTCCTTGTTTTTTTGTGTTTTTTTCATTCCGTCTTTCTTGTTGATTTTTTTGCCGGGGGCTTTGTTTCTTCTTGCGTGTTTTTCGCCAGAGCATGCCGGCGGACAAGAAGTTCATCATGGTTATCCCGCCGCCGAACGTCACCGGCTCCCTGCACCTTGGGCACGCCCTCACGGCGGCCGTCGAAGACACGCTTTGCAGGTATGTATGTACATGTATGTACATGGTGGACGAGAGAGGTGCGGCTCTTAAATAGCGTGGGGTAGGCACACGGGAAGGGGTTGTTGGGGGGGGGTCGTGTGAGAGAGGACGGGCGGAGTAGAAAACATTCTCGACGCAAGATCTGTGTTGCGTTTTTGTTTTCAAGAAGGGGGTCCCGTAGAACGTAGAACGGGTACCCTAGTGCACAGGAAGGAAGCGGCCTGTCGCCCCGGACAGCAGGGGTATGGATGACATCACATGACACGCTGCTGTTGCGTGGGATACGAAACAAAACGAGCGGTGTTTTTTTTGTTTTTTTGTTTCGCAGGTGGCATCGAATGCTCGGCCACGCCACGCTCTACGTCCCGGGCACCGACCACGCGGGGATCGCGACGCAGTCCGTGGTGGAGAAGAAGCTCAAGAAGGACGAGAACGTCACACGCCACGATCTCGGGCGAGAAGAGTTCGTCAACGTGCGTTTTTTTCTCTTTCGCGTTCCGTTCTTTTTTCGTTCCGTACCAACAACCAACCACAACGAACGTCCTTCTCGTTTCTTATTTTACCGAGTTTTGTGTTGTTTTTCTCGCAAGGTATTGCTCTGGGTGGGGAGTCGCTGTGCACTGTGGTCCCGCCATGTGCGCACAGCGTCGTGTCGAGAGTGGCCTGTTGTTGCCCAATCTCGTCGTCACTCGGCTACCAGAGCGTCAACCTGTGCTCATGCCCAGCGCTGCTGCTTTCTTCACAGCGGCAGGGCCACCGCTACCCTCTCGACTCGCCGGTCGTCCCCAACGCCACACGCTACAGTCATGCATTCGACGAAACACCTCCCCCCCCCCCTCTCCCTCGGGTCCGGGTCCGTCCGTGTGCATCTCTCCTTTCTTGGTTTGTTTTTTCTGTTGTGCATTTTGCTTTTCGACCGCAATGAATTTGGTGTAATATGTACAGCGCGTGTGGAAGTGGAAGGATGAGTACGGCGGCAAGATCACGACCCAGATCCGAAAGCTAGGGTCCTCGGTGGACTGGAGCCGGGAGGCCTTCACCATGGACGCCAACCTGTCACGTGCGTATACAATACCCATTTTTTTTTTTTTTTTGGCTAACATGTCCCATGATGGTAAGTGTCCCCCGAACAATCGTGTATGTTGAACACTCGACGCCGCGGAGAACAAAATGTCTCCTCTTCCTGATGAGCCTGTCAACGGCAGCAGCAGTTTGAGAGTCCAATCTCCCAGCAAAACATCGCCAGCTTTCCCAAGTCTCGCCCCCCCCTGTTCTTTTCTGTTCTCAACCATGAACCCCAGACCCTCGGAAATACTAAATATTGGAATCCCCAACGCCCTCAACCCGATCTCTGACGTCGCGTGTGAGCAGGCGCCGTTACGGAGGCGTTTTGCCGGTTCCACGAGTCTGGCCTCATCTACCGCGACACCCGCCTGGGGAACTGGAGCTGCGCGCTCAAGTCGGCGATCTCGGACATCGAGGTGCGTAGGAAGGAGACCACGAAGAAACCCGAAGAAGCCGGTGTTGTGCCTTTTTTTCACCCGCCGTTTGTCGTGTCGTGCTATTTACATACGTAGAATAGACATGTATCGTTCCTAGATTTTGGTTTTGGGCAAGACAGACACGCACAAATACACACGCGCGAAGCAGCCGCGCCGAGACTGACGGAGTTTCACAGGTCGGCCGGTTAATGCAGCCGATACCCTGAACAATATACGCACACACGCTCGCAAGCACTACTTTTTTGTGAAGTATTAGAATTGGCCATTTAGTGAGGTGTACACACCTACTATCGGATGCCCGTTTGTTTTTTTTTTCGCCGGCGAAAAGGTTGACTACGTGGACCTGGAGGGCAAGACCTACATGGCCGTCCCGGGGCACACCAAGAAGCCGAAGTACGAGTTCGGTACGATGACACACTTCGCCTACCGCGTGGAAGGGGGGGAGGAGGGGGAGGAGCTGGTGGTGGCCACCACTCGGCTGGAGACCATGCTGGGAGACACGGTAAGCATTTTTTTGTGTGGAAAGTACGACCCCCCAGGGAGGAGGGCAGGGTTCGTGGTCGTCAAGGCATGGTTGTGGTACAGCAGTACGGGCCCGCGGTTGAGCTATTTTTGGCAAGAAAACAGAGGCTCACGTTTTCTCGAAAAGGCCACCAATCTGCTGCACGCAGAGAATGCGCGTTGAAGCTGTTGTTAGTAGTACAGCGGTGGCTGTCGTGTGATTTTTAGGTCGGGGTGCGAGGTGCGATGTTCTGTAGGTTGTGTGCTTGGTGTTTGGCTCTCTCTCTCTCTCTCTCTCTCGCGCGCGCGCGTATGCAGGCAGTGCCTGGGATCAGGTGCTGTCAGCTGTCTGTTTTGGTGCGTACCAGCATTTCGTTTCGTTTCGGGAGGCGCTACTTGTAGGAACAGCGGCAGCAGCAGCAGCAGCAGCAGCTACAGAGAGAACAAAATGTGTGGAGAAGTTTTTGTATCGTGCCTTAACGACGACCTTTCATTCTCATCAAAAGACGTTGCACGTCGATGTATTCTGCTGCCGCACTTCACTCCCATCCAAACATTTTCGTCACTTCACCGTGGTACACAGAGTCGTAAGTCTTCCTTTTTTCCAGCTGGTGACCCGGTGGTTCTTGTGTGGTACGATGCTCCGTGTTTGTTCTATCTTGCGTGCTCGTGTTGTTTCTTCAACAGGGAGTTGCCGTGCACCCGAAGGACGAGCGCTACAAGAAGTTCCACGGCAAGACCCTGGTGCACCCCTTCACGGACAGGAAGATACCGGTCGTTCTGGACGACGTCCTCGTCGACATGGAGCTGGGAACGGGAGCCGTTAAGGTATGCATACGGTGGCGAATTTCTACCACGTTGCCATGTGCAGGAAATCGAAGCACTGCGCACGTGTGGCAGGATCTCGATCGGCTGCGGAGCAGTAAAAAGTGTGACTTCTTGTACAGCATTGGACAACGACTCAATTCCCCCTGTGCCTGGCATGCATTGTGTCAGTGTCGTTCGTATGTGAAGGGTCTATGCGGAGCAGGTTCGTTGTGTGTAGTGTTTGCTCGACAGAACGGCGGGCACTCAAGACAGTAGAAAGGATGAATCGAGGTGATGGGCGGTGTGCGTATGTACGCGCTTTTTTTTGGGGGTGTGTGTGTGCTCATAGTCGTGCATGCCGCAGTCGTTAGACCATTGACCTCGCATCCCTACAAAACCGGGACGGAGCACGACGGGTTCTCACCGCACGAGGGGGGGAGGGAGTCGTGCATGCCATAGTCGTTAGACCATTGACCTCGCATCCCCACAAAGCCGGGACAGAGCACGCCGGGTTCTCACCGGAACAGGCTCTCACATCACCAAGCGCGAAGCGCCGTGAGGTATTTGGCGAGTCGCATGAAGGGTGAGCTGCATCCTGCTAAGGGTGTTCGGCATCTTGTGCTTACTTCCTTGCCTGCGGATGACACCTGCGTATGACTTAATTTATTTTCTGGTGCTTTCACTTCCAGAGACAGCTGTAAGCGGTGTGTAACTGCCTCGAGGGTGCTTGACCAATATTAACACAACGTGCGATTATCCCCTTTGCGCGGAGTCAGGGTTCTCGACTCCGCACAACATAGTCTACTCGACCACCATTCATGGTTACCGCAAAAAAAAAAAAAACGAAGGCAAAAAAAAAAAGCGGTAACCTGGTTGCCGAGCTCACGAACCGATCGGCTTGTTTTACAACATCGCTGCCAAGCGACGAAAACCCAAACTCGATGGCAAACACCGGGGGCGGCGGCTTGTTTTACAACGTCGTTGCCAAGCGACGAAAACCCAATCCCGATGGCAAACATCGGGGGAGGGGGGGTGGGGAGGGGGGCTTTGATCGCGCTAACGGGCTCCCTTAGCGAGAGGCGTGAGGGCGACGGCGTCAACAAGATGGCGGGTATCGCTGACAAAGCAGGGTGTTGTGTGTTGTGTCTTTCTTGTTGATGTCATCGTTGCTGTTGTTGCTGTTGTTGTTGTTTTTCACGTTAAAGCCATTCGGTGCCGTAAGAACGTTCGTATGGGTGCAACCGGCGCGGACGGACCCCTTCCGTGGTCACAGGCTACTATCTACACCGTAGAAATCCACACCGTAGAAAATGGAGTCATCGCAAACACCCCCAAGACCGGATTCCAAAGCTCTATCCGTTACCCCAAAACACCAGTAGGGTTAACTTGAGGAGAAGCCGACTGGTTCGTGTAAGGAACGCCCTCGACGGTACCTGTCCAAAATGAAGCCATTCTCGGCAGTGACAGCCTCTTTGGTGGTGGAACGATCGAGTCACGGAAAGTCGGCTAGCACCATGAACTTGACGGCGTGATCACCGGCGCTGTTCCCGGGCACCACGAGTTCTAGGCTGAGGGCCCAAATAAACAAATAAACACTTTCAACGGTCCCATTTCTAAGTTATTGTTGTTTGTTGTTTGTTGTTGTCTCATAAAAAATATCGTTCCGGTTCTCTACTCAGTACCTGCTAGTATTATCCGTACTTGGTCCATCTGACTCGGGGCGTGCTTCCTTGTTTTCTTTCCTCTGTCGCCGCCTCCGCTCTCCTGTGCCGTGCTGACGTCAATGGGTCTCTCTCTCTCTCCGCGTTTTGAGTAGATCACCCCGGCGCACGACCCGAACGACTACCTGTGCGGCAAGAGGCACAACCTGCCCTTCATCACGGTCCTCGGGCTGGACGGGGCCATGAACGCCCAGGTATACAGTACGGTGTTTGGTGCTGTTGTTGTTTTGCTCTTTGTCGTTGTTCTTGTCCTCGCTTTCTTCACCGCGCAATTGTGTTCGAAGTGTTGTTGCACATATTCCAATCGTAACAATATGTTGTCTTGTTGCTATTTTCACCTTCCCTTTTTCGCTCACTGTTTTGGATAGGTCATCAGCGTGTGCATGTTATGTACGTGCGAAGTGTCTCGGCACAACGGTTTAGCTCAAACCCTCCTCCCGCACGGCAGACGGCCTTCCTCAACGTATCTGCCTCCAATCCTAGTAATATAGAAGTATGCCTTTGAGAACACGGGGGCAGAGGCATGCGAGGTTGACTCGGAGATTTTAAGCTCGATACACTGTGGGGGTATGTCAGTTGATTTTGTATTTGTCGGTTAAGGCTTGGGTCACAGTGTTGTCGTCGTCGAGAAGGCGGTGGTGGGTAATTTTCGAGAAGATACCGCTGTATCCACGCGTTCGACCGTGGCAGAGAACGCGTTTTACGCCCGGATGATGTCGAGCCGCCGTGGAAGAAGGAAAGTCAAGCTCTATTGCACCAGGCTCGTGTGGGTGGTGTCTGTTTTTTGTTTTTGTTTTTCGACGTTCCACGGACGGTTTATGACATTTATTTGTCTTGCGATGAAGGAGACTTGGGCTGCTGCGCAGGGCTTGTGGCATGTATTTGTCTCGCGATGTAGAAGACCTGGGCTTCCCCCTCCTTCACCGATATCGCACCCGACACGCATCGTCTATTTAGTGCATGGAACCATGGGCCCAGGGTCCTCGGTGGATTCGTGTTGGCTCTCAGTCGATCCGCCGCCCCCGATGATAATGCATGCACGATTTTTCCCTCAACATACTTGCTTTCCGGTGGCTGAAAATCTTGGCCGCATGCCGCTGTACGTGCTACTCACGACAGGCGGGGGAGTTCGAAGGCATGATGCGTTACGACGCTCGCGTGGAGGTGGAGAAGGCCCTGGAGTCTAAGGGCCTGCTGAGGGGAAAGGACCCCCACAAGATGCGCCTCGGAGTGTGCTCTAGGTCCGGCGACATCATCGAGCCCATGATCACGCCGCAGTGGTGAGTCGGCGGATATCACTCTCTCTCTCTCTCTCTCTCTCTCTCTCTCTCCCTGTCTGTCTGTCTGTCTGTCTGTCTCTCTCTCTGCTTCTTATGAGACAAGCGAGAGGCAGTGTCATGAGCAGGAAAACTACGGGGGGGATGTCTTGTTGTTGTTGTTTCTGTTGTTGTTGGCGTCGTTTTTTGTTCTGTTGGTTGGTCTGGTGACATGGTCGAGCCCATGGCCACACCGGGGGTGGTGAGTGTCGCGTCTCTGCTGTGACATGTAGCGAGAGGCACCAGAGCAGCAGTGTGGGGGTTACTCGTTGTCGTTTGTTGTTTGGTCTGGTGCGCATACATGGCCGAGCCCGCGAGCCTCCCGCCATCGTGAGGTGCGCAATGAGATCACGAAGTACTATTTACTCTGCCAACATCCATCTGTCCGAGTTTCTCTTCCGATTTCCATCACTGTGTATTTACCCCCAAGTTGATTTGTGTTCCGAATCCACCGTTCTCGAACCAGGTACGTGAAGTGCGACCGCATGGCGAAGCGGGCGGTGGACGCGGTGAAGAACAAGGAGCTCAGGATAGAGCCGCCCATGCACGAGAAGACGTGGTACCAATGGCTCGACAACAGCAGGGACTGGTGAGACAGCGCAGAACGAGAGAGAGGGAGAGAGACAGCGACAGAGAGGGACAGAGGGAGAGAGAGTGAGACAGAGGGGCGGGGGGAGATAGGTAGACAGGGAGAGAGAGAGAGACAGAGAGGCAGAGAGACAGAGAGACAGAGAGACAGAGAGAGGCAGAGAGAGACAGAGAGAGACAGATGCAGAGAGGTACAACACACGGCAGGGCACGCCGGCAGTCGATTTTGAGGCAAGGGGCAGGTCTTGTCTCTTAGCCTTGGGCCGAATAGTTGTAAGGTGTGCGTAGTGGAGGGGGGACAGCGGAGAAGGAGAGGAGAGGGACATGCGTGAATGTAGTGCGGGGCCCTCTATAGTGCGTGTGCCTGACATGGTGCGGGTGAAAACAACATCCAGGGAGGCCCCTCCCGCCCTGCCCTCCCCCTTCCGATCACCGACCTCTGGAGCTCCTTTTTTTTCTTTTTTTTTTATGTTCCGTCAGGTGTATCTCGCGCCAGCTGTGGTGGGGGCACCGCATACCGGCCTACTTCGCCTCTGTGGAGGGGGAGAAAGCCGTCGACCAGGCAAGATTGCTGCCCCCCCCCCCCCCCTTTGGTTTCCGTCGTCGTGTCGATTCAGTACGAACCATGGCCGGTTTGCTGCTTGGATTGTGGCGTACTTGTGCCGAGAATCTCGTCTTTTGTCTGGTGGTGGTCGAAAAATTGGTACGGTTGATACTATTTTTGCCGTCGCGTTTGGGTTCCGATTTGGGCTGTCGTGTGTTGTTTTATTTTTGTTCTCGCTCGTGTCGCGAGGCATGTCTTCTCTCCGCATATATGCGTGTATATGCGCACGCCTCCGTTGCGCGCACGCCTTATGTACCGTTGTCGTGTTTCATCCTCACCTTCGAACACGGGCCTTGTCGGCGTTGAAAGGCAAGCGCTACTTCCGGAATCGTATAAACCCCGCCCTTTGCACGGCGTACCTACCTACCCTACAAGCAGAGCATGTTTGAGATCATGGTTTGGGGCGGTCTCAAACACACACTTTTGTGTCGTTTCCTGCCCGCTTGTTCTCACAAGATATTCTTTGTCGCTGATGAAGGCCGTCGTGCCCATGACCACCCCGTGGGCCAACAGCAGGCTCACCTTCAGGAGGTCATCGGGGGGTGTTTGTGCCAGAATGCCTGGCAAAATACGCTGGTCAGCCCCCTGGGGCGCGTGGGGACAGGTCGATTCCTGCTTTCGAGAACGACTGGCTTGCACTCGACCAAAATCCTCCCTCTCGACCCCCCCCCCCCCCCCCCC